TTTCTCTATCCTTGTGGGTTTACATCTTTAAAAAAATCTGGACCAGGGATGGAGCTCAGTGGCACAAGTACCTGTCTGGCAAGTGCAAGGTCCTGAGTTTGATTGCCGATACTGAAAATAAATCTCTTGCTGGGTGTGATCATGCATACACTTTGGAAGTGGAGGCAGGAGGCTTGCCTTGAGTTCAAGGCCAGTCTGGGCTACATAATGAATTCAAGCCTAGCCTGAACATAGCAACACCATGTCTCAAAAAAACAAAACAAAACACCTCAAGTTGTACTAAAAACAAGCAGACTGAGTGAACATAAACACTAAACACTAAAACATCAGCATCCCTCTTAGATCTCCTCATTCCCAAAATGCAGGAAGTGAAGCTCCTACCCATGCTAAAAGTAAAGACCTAAAGACAATGATATTGAAGAGAACAGAGATTTCCTCAATGAAAGCCCAATTAGGTCATCCTTCAGTGATGTTAACAATTTTAACATCAGCTTTACAATCTCTAACCCTTAAAAATGAACAGACAACCAAGAATTTTAAAATATCTGAAGAAAGTTTCCAGCATGAAAAACAGAAATCAAATTGAGTAGAAAATGTAGAAAATAGAAAAAAACATGAACAAAAATATACTCTTAGAAATATATGTTATTATAGTCATGAAACAAAAGTAAAATGCTGTGTGTAAACATATTGTCTCCCTGGTGTGAGAAATTGAAAGAGTAAACAAGGTCTAAAATGTACAATAGATATTTTGAAATGGGAAGAAATTACTTGAAAATAAAAAAGAACTGGGATGGGGAAAAGGGGAAAGAAAGGAAGGGAAAAGAGAGAAAAAGGCAAGTTAGCTATACTATTAGTGTCTTTTAGTTCATTTAAAAGGAAGGTTTGTGCTAATATCAATTAGAGAATTTTTTATGCCCATATCTTGTACTCTGAGTACTTACTTTGAAGATGACAATATGCCACATATTAACTATTGTTACTCACCTTTTTTGGGGGGGAATATCAGGAATCAAACTCAGGACCTTCTATTATTTTGTTTTGAAATTCTGTTTTACCTTTTTTTCCCATAAAAGAAAAAAAAGAGATGCTATAAAACAAGAACATAAAGAAAAGGGGCTAAGAGCTCTTAAAAATAAAATTGTGATAGCAAAAATGAGAAATTGAAGAAATTGCCTACAAAGTAGAAAAGATTTTTTTAAAAAGACCAGTGTAGGAAGGCCAATATTTAAATAAGAGTTGCAGAAAGAAAAACAGAATCCAAGGGAATTTTCTCCAGGACCAAAGGACATGAGTTTACACACTGAAAAGGCCCACTAAATACTAAGCACAAACGCATGAAAGCACACTTATAGCAAGGAACATCAATGTGAATTTTCAGAACAAGGAGGACCACAGCAGAGATTTCTGATGCTTAGAAATATTCTGCTCTCTTCTTCCTGAGCACACAATTACATTTTATAGTCTCCTCTCCAACTGCAGGGCAATTGTGGCAATAAGACCAAGTCCCAGTCAATGGAGTGGGAGCAGAAATAATATACATAATTTCCAAGCCTATTCCTATAAAAATCTTTGATTTATAAGCCTTGCTCTTTTCCCCCAATCTTAACTAAATAAGAGGGGGCTAAGAGGGCCTAAGGGAGAATGAAGCCATAAGAAAAAAAAATAGCTTAGATTCTGCATGAAACAAAATGCATCCCTGCAAAGTGCACACACACCCCACACACACAGAGGCCTGTGAAATTACGGGCAAGGACTATAAAAAAGGAAAAGCAAACATTTTCTGTTTAGCCATTGAGATTCAGCATTTATCTGTTACATATGGCACATGGCATTATTTACTGTAATTAATAGAAAGATAAAAAACCAAGATCATATCAGCTTACAGGGAGGAAAAGACAGGTTACACACGATGTAATCAGAAAGAATTCAGAATTTTCAATAGCAACACCTGAAATTAGAAAACAGTGTTGCAATGTCACAAAAATTCCAAACAGAAATGAATCAGTGGCATGGTTCCTACCTGGAAAGCTCAAGGTCCTGAGTTTAATTCCCAGTTCCAAAAAAAGAAGAAATGAATCCTGACTTGGAATAATATACTCAGCCAACTACCAGTCAAGTGTCCTCAGTGTAAACATTTGCAGAGATCTAAGGTCTCAAGAAATTTACCTCCCCAACACTTTTTTTCCGAGTAAGCTACTAGACCCTGAGATCCATCAAAACAAGGAGTATTCCAAGAAAAAAGATAGCAGAAAAAAAAAAATAGCAGGACTCAAGAAAGACAAAATCCAACACAAGAAAAAAAACGACGACACTGAATAATGATGAAGAGAAGATTCCAATGACAGCTGTGGGCCAGATATGGAAGGTATCAAATCAAGATTACAGCACGTCAAAAAAACTCTGAGAAAGTTTTTCAGGAAGACTACATCGACAATCAATTGTGTTGGAATACATTAGGAGTAGATTTATATAAATCCTGGAAGTTCTGGGGTTGGCTAGTTGATAAAAATAGAAAATAAATTACAAAATTTTTAACTGAAGGGAAAATCTGAACAAAAGTAATAATAATTTTTTGCCAGGTGTGGTGGCACGTGTCTGTAATCCCCAGCACTTGGGAGGCTGAGGCAGGAGGATTTTTGCAAGGATTGTTGCCCGGGCTACAAAGTGAGTTCAAGGCCAACCTGAACTACATAGTGAGACCCTGTCTCACAAAGACAAAAAATAAAAAATAAAGTAAGAATAGTTTTTATATGGTTAAACTGTGAACCCCATTTTATGGTCCTAATAATGAGTAAATAGCAATCTTTATTTTTGGTGGGAAAATTATAACTATATATAAAAAAAGGAAAGATAAATATTGGAGTTGGACAAATGATAGGGAGCTATCATCCTCTATAATGGAAAGTCAACAAATAAGTAATGCCTTAAAAAGGGAAAATCAAGTTATAGTAACATAAACACATTTTAGAAAAAGCCTGAAAGCAGAACCATCTAGGATGGAAAAAGTTGGAAAGGTAGGAGCATACAGGGAACTGTAAGTTTTCTAACGAGTCTCACTATTTCACGTTTAAAAGCACATGTATATAAGCCAGGAGTGGTGGTGCACACCTGTAGTCCTACCACTCGGGAGGCTAAGGCAGAAGGATCGCTGCAAGTTTGAGGCCAGCCATGCTACATAATAAATTCAAAACCAACCTGAACTACATAGCGAGACCCTATCTCAAAAAATATATACATACATATCACATGCGTGTATGACTTTGACAAAGTCTAAAACTAAATAAATTTGTATGTGTCTGGTTTGGTTTGGTTTGGTTTGGTTTTGCCAAAAATGAAGAACAAGTCAGGCCTGGCAGCACATACCAATTCCCATCATTCTGGGAGGCTGAGACAGGAGGACTGCAAGTTTAAGCCCAGCCTGGGCAACTTAATGAAACCATCGCAAAGTAAAAAAAATTTAAAAATAAAAGGGCTGGAATGTAGCTCAGTAGGAAGGTCTTGGGTTCAATCCCCAGTACTGCAAAATAATAATAATAAAATACAAAATAAAGAGTGAAGATCTCTACATTCTAATATGAAATGCTACTCCATCTTACTAAAAAGCACATGACAAAACCATAATTACACTCTAATTTGCATGTTTAAAAAACTGATAACTGATCACATATATAGAAAAAACCATAAGTATACTGAATGCTAATAGTTGTTTCAAGGAATGAGATAACTAGAAAGTCTCACTCTCCATGACATTTCTATAACGTAATGTTTTGCAATGTTGTAATCATTTTTTTTCATGCTCTCCCCAAAAAGAACTACAAACAAAATTACATAGAGATCAGAGACACTAAAGAAAAGAGAAATGGCCTCTATACTAGATGTTATGAAGACATCCATTAGGCTCAAAATACCTATAGAGATGGATTTCTTGCCAGAAGCTACTGTGGCCCATGTGTGCTTTAAATGAAATCAATCCTGCTACCCTTGGCACAGTTTATCCGATTAGAGTCAACGCAAAAGCTGATTCAACTTTACACAGACCAATGACATCCTAGACATGAAATTAAGCATTTCACTCATCAGTGTTAAGAACTCTGCCCAGTTACACTAGAGTTCATACAGAGAAACAGCAAACCAATGTATCACACTTTGGAGCATGTTTAATACTAAGCACACCAAAAGTACACAGGTCATTCCAGTTTAGGTAAGCAAATGTCTTATTAGAGTTCAATATGCTATACAGGCTCAAGTGGGTCTCCGACTCCTCTAAGGCTGATGGGACAACTTCATTACAAAGAATCCTTAAACACACACACACACACACACACACACCAGACAAAAAGTCTAGAAAACCAGTTTCACACCCACTAAATGCATCAGTGTTCTCTCATGAGAATAGATACAAATGATGACAGTGTAAGACTCAAGTGGAAAAAATAATTAAGATTCAATCGGAAGAGATAATTTCAAACTAACTGCAGATCAAATTATCAAAGAATGCCCTATTCATCGTGTCATTTATTTTCCTTTTCCTTTATTTATTTCTCCTCTTTTGCAACTACAATTACCTAGACATGAAAGAAAAAGTATATAAAAACTCAATATAATTTTGCTATAAAAGAGTAGGTTAAAACTAGGAGCAAAAATGAAATGGTTAGGCCAGGGTGGTGCTGCACACCTGTCAGTAATCCAGCCCTCGGGAGGCCAAAGCAGGAGAATCATCTACAGTTCAAACCCAGCCTAAACTACATAGTGAGAGCCTATCTGAGAAAAACACAAAAGAATTTGTTGGTAAGCAATCTTAAAGCCAGTTAAACAATCTTGTGATGAGTCATTCTGTTCACCTTTCCCATCTGATACATTTGTAAATTTATCACCTGATACTTATTACATAATCATTTTCATTTTTTAACTACATAAGATTATGGCTCACTGAAAATTTAATGTAAACTATGACAATTCACTACAGAACAAAAACAGAAAATAATTTTACTACTTACTAGTTGTTACACAATGAAGAGCATTTGACTGGTGCTTAGAATTTAATGCTTCTATGGAAATCACTAGCTGTCCTTCTAGCAAAGCTCCCTTTGAAATTTCTGTTTCACACCTCCAGTGAATTATTAAACGTTTCAAAATCTGAAAAGAAAACAATCCTTTAAAATCAGAGTAATAATATATTTGTATTATACCGTTAAATTAACAACTCTAACCCCCCCCAATATTGTATTTCTGCTCAAGAAATGTCAGATTTATATTTGTTCAAAGTATAGCACGGTGTCTAAACAGAATGTTTAGAGTGACCTAAGAAAGAAGAGTGTAAAATTCACCACAATGACCAACAAGACAGGAAACTGAGACAATAAATTACAGTAGTCAAAGGATAAGTCGGAAACAAAAACTAAGGAAAATTTAGATGGCAATTTGTTGTTCTTGGGTTTTTTTCCTCCCAAATAAATAAAAGTCAACATGAAGACTCTGAATAAGAGTGACATCTGGTTATGAATAATCTTTAGCTTTTATTAAATCAACATTTTTGGGAGTCAAACTATTATTTGAGTGCTGAAGGCAAATGCCTGGGTTTGAATCCCTGATATGCCAATTTTTAGCATGTGAGAATTACTTAATCTCTCTGTATCCCAGATTCCTCATCTAAAAAAATGAGGCTAAGCACACTACATTGGGCTACTATGGAAAGTAAGTAAATACGTATAAAATGCTTAACACAGTGCACTTGGCATGTAGTAAACTCGAAGTTGTAGTAAGTTCATCTGCATTAAAGACTGAACACAATACGCATATTTAAGCTTGACGTCTTGATTAAGATGGCAAGATATCCAAATAATAACAAATGCTGGCAAGGCTACAGGGGAAAAAGGAAGCCTTCTACATTGTTGGTGGGAATGCAAACTAGTTCAAATACTATGGAAATCAGTATGAAGATTCCTCAAAACACTAAATCAAGCAATTCCATTTGACTTAGTCATTCCCTCCTAGGTATGTTCCCAAAAGAGATAACAACATAGGGCCCGGACATAGCTCAGGGGCACAGTGCCTGCCTAGCAAGCTCGAGATCATGAGTTCAAGTCCTGATACAAAAAAAGTTAAAGACATCATATTACAGTAATATATGGATACCCATGTTCATCATTCAAAATAGCACAATGCAAAATAGCTAAATCATGGAAGCTGCCTACATGTCCATCAACAGATGTATGGATAAAGAAAATATGGCATTTATACACAATGGAGTACTGCTCTGCCATAAATGATAAACGTAAGTCATTTGTATGAAGATAGATGCACCTTGAGATCATGTTAAATGAAATAAATCAGACACATAAGCTTAAATACATGGTTTCTCTTATATGAGGAAACCCAAATATAAGAGCAAAATAAATGACAAATAGGGAAAACATTTCCTAGAGGAGTTCTAGGTTTATTAATCAAAATATTGTGACTTTGTCAGGTGTGGTTGCCCATGTCTTAATCCCAGTACTCTGGAGGGTGAGGCAGGAGGATTACCAGGAGTTTGAAGGCAGCCTGGACTACTCAGTGAGTTCAAGGCCAGCCTGAATTACACAGTGAGATCGTCCCGCAAAAAAAGTATAAATTTTATTTTATTTTATTTTATTTTGGGTTTTTTTCCGGTACCGGGAATCAAACTCACGACCTCGCGCTTGCCAGGCAGGTGCTGTGCGGCTGAGCTAAAACCCCAGCCCCTTATTTTATTTTTTTTAAACTTTAAACTTCACTAACCAGAGTTTGCTCTGCATTCATGGAAATATTACTTTGTACTTTTGTCTAGTAAATAAACGTTTAGACGTGAAAAAAAGAAAAAGGAGCTCTGCAGGGTGATCAATATCAACAACAAAAGATACCCAAATAAAACATTCAATCTTGATGACACAAATTAAAATATATAATTTCCATTATTATTCATGAAAGTAGACTCTCACTTCCATCACACTAAGACACAAGAATTATTACCATTTCTTCTTTTTAAAAGCAGAGGAATCTAAGTAAGAGAACTTGGGAACTAAGATCCTAATTTGTACTGGACTTCATCAAGGTAGTTTTCAGGCATTTCTACACTCGATTTCTTTCACCGATCCTCTGACTTCCTGTGCTCCCTCTGTTCAGATTTTCTCATAGTGTATTTTAGCCATAACGAGAGCAGTTGGAGAAAGGAACACAAGCCTGTGAGGCAGAGCCCTGTGTTCTATCTTAGGTTATGTCATGTGTAAATCGAACCCTCCAGCTTCCTTTATGGCATTAAAGAAAGGAGGAGGGCTGGGTACACTGTGAGGGGCTCTCAGCCTGTGGCTCTAATGCACCTGCCCAGTTTCCCTTACAAGGCCAGTTGCTAAACATCCCATTAGGTAACGGCTGCCTGGGGTGGCAATGGAGTGACACAGGCAGGTGTGCAGCGCCATTTTCAAAGAGGAGAGAACATATCTTGGTGGTCAGAGTGTGTGCAGCCTCTAAACCTCACTCTCACCGTCCAGCTACTCTTGGACCAGGAACCTACACCATACCTTGGCTGACCCCTCTGCACAGACCCTTCCTTGCGTTATCCCCTCTCGGGTGGCCAGTTTTCCCACCCTCAGCTGTTCCTCACAGGGGACCCGCAGCGAGCCTGCCCAGCGCTGCCTCGCCTCAGCTTTCAGCTGCTCCTCACAGAATCGAAGAAGCAGGCTGATTTTCACCAACTCTTGGCCTCCCCCAAACCTTCCTCCTCTGCATCAGGCAACGACCGACCCCTCTGCACAAAGTTCGCAGTCTCCCCAACAAAGCCTGCCTCCTTAACAAAAAAAAAAAAAAAAGCCTGCCTCCTCACAAACTGTTTCTCTCTGCCTTCCTTCCCCTCCCGGCATCACCTCGCAGACAGCCAAGGCCGTCCGCTCCATTCCGCTAGAGGAACAGCAACAACGTTCTGCTGAAACACCCGCAGGTGGCAGCGGACTCCTCCTCCGCACGGCTTCGTGTTTCCAGCTTCGACCTAGGTAGGCGCCCACGTCCTGACGCGCGAACTCGAACCTTCCCGCCCGCGCGCGCTTTTCCCCGCCCACTACGTGCTGCGCCTGCGCACTCGAGACCGCCCCCGCCCGTTGGCGTGGAGTTGGTGCCCAGAAGTTCCCTGCTCTGCCAGCAGGCAGGTGGGTGGGAGGGCCGCGCGGGCGGCAGAGTCAGCCAGCTGCGGTCGGTGTTGCAGGCGAGCCGGAAACAGGTCAGGCCGCGACTCCTCCCAACGACTTTCCCACGGTCTCGCCGAGACGCAGCGGTCAGCCCTTTTAAAGCGCTTTGGCTGCGGTGGGCGCTTCCCAGGGCTTTTCTCTCAGCTGAGAGAAGCCTCGAGTGCTGGGTGTGGTGACCCCCACGTGGCATCCCCTTTTGCGGGAGCTGCCCCGGTGCCCCGGGCCAGCCTCCAGTTCCCACATCCACCTAACAAATGCAACAAATATGGGCGGCCAGTTAAAACTGGATTTCAGATAAACGTTTTTTCCCCTATATGTATGTCGCATGAACTATTTGGTTCAGATACTAAAGACAGGTACGTTCATCTGAAATTTTAAAACGACGCCCTTGGTTCTATCTAACAACCTGTCCCCTCCACAGGCGGGACCTGGAAACTTCCCCCACCCCATCAGGCTATTGAGTGCACTAAATGTGCGAGACAGAAACAGCCCTGGGGGTTCCAGTTGGAAGGAAAGAGTCTTAGGGCTCCAGTTGCTGGACTCTGGCAGATCACGAGAAGGGCTCACACCCGTAACTGCCTGTGAACTAGTAGCTGGTTTGTTGAGCAGCTAAAAGAAAATTCTGGTGAGAGAAATTCCTTCCTGGCAGAGTTGCCCAAGGAGAAGGGTGGGACAGGGTGTCGGCTGTTTTCCCTCCAGGGAAAATTCTTCCACTCCAGCTCCTAGAAGCCAGGATTGGACAGAACAGGCTGCAGAGTTGGCAGAGTGCCTGCCCAGTCCACAACCTTGGTGCTACTCCAGAGAACATGTTTTTGGGCACCTGAGTCATAGCCTTCTCCAAGGTGCTCAGTGTTGTTGCCCCATCTTACCATCACAAGCGCTCACAGATAGGGCCCACTGGAGAAAGGTGCTTTTATTGCTGGAAAATTCATCATAACCGTGATTTGACAAGAAAGCTGGGTTGTTTTGTTTTTGTGTTTTTGAGACAGGGTTTCACTGTGCAGTTCAGGCTGGCTTGAATTCACTTTGTAGCCCAGGCTGGCCTTGAACTCACAGCGATCCTCTTGCCTCAGCCTCCTGAGTGCTGGGATTGTAGGCATGCACCACAATGCCCATATAACTGGTATTTAGGAACTCACTTGAGTCTTCCTCTCCCTTTAACTCTTCTTTCTCTTTTTCACTCTGTTTTGTCCTGTTTGGGAAGAGGAGTTGCCAAGGGGAGAGCCATTATTGAATGACTTTTTGTTGGCTCTTGACCTGAATTGTTTCAGTGTCACATCTTGTAAAATAATTATTTACACTATTTGACAGGTGAGAAAACAAGGTACCCAGGATGAACGTTTAAAATAATTACCATTGGCAAGGTGTGGTGGCATATACCTGTAATCCCAGCACTCGGGAGGCTGAGGCAGGGAGATCACGGTGAGTTTGAGGTCAGCCTGAATTGCATAGCAAAACCCTGTCTCAAAAACCCAATGATTTAGCTCAGCGGCACCACCTGCTTAGCAATGCAAGGTCCTGAGTTCAGTTCCCAGTACAGAAAAAAAGAAAGAAAGAAAGAAAGAAAGAAAGAAAGAAAGAAAGAAAGAAAGAAAGAAAGAAAGAAAGAAAGAAAGGAAAGAAAGAAAGAAAGAAGGGATGGTTAACATTGAAAGTGCCAGCTCAGCAGATATGCTCCACCATGAGAATGGCACTGGCACTGAAATGTGGAGAAACAGTTGCCAATGGCAAAGTACCTCAGGTGAGCTGTTCTTTCTGGCTCCTGGCTGTTGCACTTCAAATGAGCTTCCCAAATGAAAGTTCAAGGAAATATCCAATACCATCCATGAGGCAGGGAAGGCCTAAGTAAGGTAGGCAGGGACACAGTGCCCACCTAACCAGATATAGGCAGAAGTGAAGTAAGCCTTTGATATGAGTACCCACCAGCAGGACTTCCATAGC